TGAATGAGTTCCCTACACTTGCGGTTTCCACCAGCTCTTTTCAAGTCTGACTCCTGAACCTAGCACTTCACCGGAACTGCTCTTGGCAAGGTCACCAGTGGCTGTTCTGTATTCTTAGCTTGATTTTCCTGTGGTATCTAACACTATCATCTTCAGTGAAAGACTAGAGATCCTTGGCTTAAGTGACAGCACTTACGCGCTTCTGATTTTTCCCATCCATCTGTTCTCTCATTGGGCTCCTCTACTCTGCTCATTCTTAGATCTTGATCTTCTTCGAGATTTTGTCCTCAGCACTGGAAAATCCTGTTCATCCCCAAAGGTTCGATCACCACTTACTGCTGATGACAATGACATGTCCTCTACCCCTGCTGCCTAGCTCCCTCCAGGGTTCCCAGTGTGCATTTCTGTCTGGACAACACCTCTGCTTGGATTCCTATCGGCCTTCAAACTTTATTCCCAATCAGACGTTTCATCTTTACCCCCTCCTGCCTTCTGTTCTCACGGAATAACCCAATCACCCACGTGTGTCAGTGTGGACCAAATGGCAGTCCTCCATCCCTCCCGATTGGTCTCCCCGTCGCACACAACTCTACAGCTGAGGTCTGTGATCTTTCCAACATGCAAATCATCCTCTGTCATCCTCTGTAAGAGATGGACTAGCGTCACACTCAGGTTTCAGTCCCACGCTATGAACTTTACAGCGGCACGGCAGTGAGAGTTATACAGTTATTTGACTTATCTACGCCTTTCTTTTCTCATTAAAAAAAAAAAAAAAAAAAAAAGCAGGGCCATTTAGAGCACCACCTCACTCACAGGCCTTCCCGAGGACGAGCTCAGTCTGTGACCAAGGTACGGAACTGGGATCAAAACCTTTCAGTTGAAGCAAATCACCAGTTTAGCTCTAAAATGTGTGGATGACATGGAATGACTTTTTAAAAACTCTCTTACAGACTCCCGAGGGCGCTGAAGCCCGACGGCCAACTGCAGCTCCGGGCTGGCGGCGGTGGGCGCAGGAGGACGCGGGGGTCGGTTCCGGGAGCCCAG